CCACTCACCTCAGCCTCCCAAAGGCGCGGGATTACAGGCTGAGCCCCCGAGCCCGGCTACGACGTGGCTTTCTAAGGGGAGGCGTGACTAGGGGTCCGTGAGGCTCAGGCTGCTGGCATAGGACTCCACCCATGGGCTCCCTACCCAGCCCCGGGCCTCCTGGGGTGGACAGTGTCCAGCCCTGCCACCCCCCCAGACAAGGGGAAGAGAAAGAGGCAGCAGCAAAGCCCCCCTGCGAGTGTGGAGGATGGGAGAGAGGGAGGTAGGGCCAGGCAGTATCTGTCCAGCACCCACGCTCCACACAGAGCTTCAGGCAACCAGAGCCTTCCTAGAGACCCGGCCCTACCACAGACGAGGGCCTTGGTGTCTCTGGGACAAGTAGGACCCGGGTTGACCCTCATGGTAGTGCTTCTCAAACCCAAGGATGCAGCTGGGCATGGCAGCTCACACCTGTCATCGCAGCGTGCTGGGAGGCCACAGTGAAAGGGCAGCCTGATCCTAGGAGTTCAAGACGAGCCTGGGCAACATAGCAAGATCCCGTCCACCTCAGTGGGACTGGCCCCTAGAGCAGACCCTCCCAGTCAGCCGCAAGGACGCTGGGCCACATGGGAAGGACGTGGCCGCTTTCTTCTCAGCCCCTGCTCTCACGTCAGGAATGTACAAGGGCTCTGACTTGGGAGAAAGGGCTAATTTTTTTTTTTAATACTTGGGACCAGGCACGGTGGCTCAGCCTGTCATCCCAGCACTTTGGGAGGCCAAGGTGAGTGGATTGCCTGAACCCACGGGTTTGAGACCAGCCCGGACAACTTAGCGAGACCTTGCCTCTACGATAAATCAAAAATTAGCCGGGCATGGTGGTGTGTGCCTGTAGTTCTGGCTACTTGGAAGGCTGAGGTGGAAAGATCGCTGGAGCCCAGCAGGCCGAGGCTGCAGTGGCCGGGAGCGTGTCACTGCACTCCAGTCTGGGGGACAGAGTGAGACTCCAACTCAAAAAAAACCAAAACTTGCACACACCAAGAGTCTCAGCCACTCAGGAGAGTGAGTTCAGCCTGAGCAAGAGAGCAAGACACAGACTCTAAACCAAAGCAAGCCAAGCTGCAGGACAGGTCAGCAGCAGCAGGACTGAAAAAAGGCGGTTCCCGGGCTCTCAGCAACTCCCAGCGAGCGTCGGCGCAGCTCAGGAGTCGGCCCTCGGGCGTGCTCCCGACAGGCTCGACTTGGCCCTGGGCAGGGTGCTCTACACGCTGCCCCTCCGCCCACCTCCCCCCGGGGCCCAAGTCCCAGGTCACCGGAGGTCGGGCCGAGAGGCCCCTCTCCCCATGGGGCCGGGACCCAGCAAGGCTCGGTTCTGAGAAGTCGGGTCGGCCCTGCCTCGGCCTGGCACAGAGCCTCACCTGCAGTACGTGCTCAATAAACTTTTGCAAACCCTGCCAGGCCCGCCGCGAGGTGCTTCCCCTTTGTCGGTCCCAGCTAAGAGCACGTTGGCAAGACCTCAAAGGGACGCCAGGGCCCCGGCGGCAGGGGCGGGCCCTGGCAAATATTTGTCGAACAAACCCAAGGCCACGGGAGATGCTGTCAGTGCCCGCTGGCCTGAGGGCCACAGGCCTGGCACACCGGCGGGGAGGGCGGGGTCTGTGCTCAAACTCTCGCCTGCAGACCCCGACCCGGGAGCTGGGGCCGGGGCCAGAGCCAGGTGGGAGCCACGCCATCACATTTATTAGGAGGCTGGATCTCGGCGTGCGCTCTGGTGATTACAGAATGGATCCCTGTACCTTGAGAACAGGAAGTCCAGACTCGCACAAAGCGCTGGCCCCAGGAAGCTGCCAGTGAACATCGGGGCCAGGTCTGCCTCGGAAAGCCCCTTCTCCCTGCGGCCTGCCCAAGGGCTGTGCTGTGGTTCTTTATTGTATTATTTCTTTTATTTCTCTTTATTATTATTAATATTATTATTATTTGCTTCTGCTGTGGTCACTATCATTGGCAAAGTTCCGTCGCCCTTCCTAGACAGGGGGCTCCCACCGGTGAAGGACTCTAGCGGAGGCTGGAGGCGGCCTCGGGCCTCCGTCTGGGAGGACGGGGAGGGGAGGAGGCGGGAGAAATCATCCTTGGCTTAAAAAACTTAAAAACAAAAACGGAAGTCCCGCGATCGGCAGGCCACTCCTCACTCCATCAGTGATCAGACTGCCCGGGAGGGGTGGGTTGGCGGGCGCCAGGCCTTCCTCCCGGGGGCGGCGAGAAGGGCGGGGCCCCAGAGCCGCAGGGGAGGCCGAGGCTCCTTCCAGCCGTGGGGGTGCAGAGCAGAGGGAACAGGGGAGACCGCACAGCGCCCAACAAGGAGGCACCTTCCACCCCTGGGGCCAGCTCTGTGTCCTGAAGACTCACCACAAAAAACCAGAGCAAAGCCCAAACGAAAGAAAACCCAAAAGGAAAAGACCCGGCCGGAGGGAGGCGGAGGGCCGGGCTCCAGGGCCTCGGGGGTCCGTTAGCTCGTCACGTAATGCTTGGTGGACGGCTGCCCATACACCCTGTAGAAATCCTGGTGGCCGGGCTGCTGGGAGGCGTCGAGCCAGTCTCTGACCGCCAGGCCGGGGAGGGACTGGGGCACGGAGGGCGCGGGCGGGAGCGGGTGAGAGTAATCCTGCGAGGGCACTGTCCAGGGGAAGTGGCCCGAGCGGGGGTAGGGCTGGTGGCCGCCGTGGTTGGCCACGGAAGAACAGTAACAGTTGTCCACGGAGCAGACGAGGATCTTGCGGCCGCTGTACTGGGGCAGCATGGGCTGCTGGGCGGCCGGGCCGTTGGGAAACTGTGACGGCGGGAACACGGGGCTCGAGT